GGCGCTACCCGAACGCGACGTACTGCTGGCGGCCTGTACGGCGGCTAAGCAGAAGGCGGTGACTGGTCGCGTGGAACAGCTCAACCTGCGCCTCAAAGACGAGTTGCTTCAACAGCAGCTCTACTTCTCAGCGCTGCAGCAGAAGCTCACAGAGGCGCCGTTATGGTCGCGTTCTGCATTGTGCCAAGAGCTGTTTGACCGTATGCACGGCTATCTGCACCTGGTCGGGTCTGACACGGACCGGCGCAAGGAACAACTCCAAGCACGCTTCGAACTGGGCATACGACTTGCTCCAGAGCTCGTGGAGAACTTCACGCGCGAGTTTGTACCACTCACGTCGCCGGTACTGCCGTTTTCGCGGACCAGCACAGCAGCAACCACCATCGCCGCACCACTGAGTGCTCCAAGTGGGAACGACAGGGATAAAGACGGCAGTATCTGCGGCACACTCGTGTCCAATATCTTCGTGTGCAAAGTGCCAGCCAGTGCCTACATCCCGCGGATCTTCCAGACTTTGGTGGACAATCTCAAGAATACCTCGATCGAGCTCGAACGCCGTCTCGGCGTCCTGCTTGAAGTCAAGGTACCGACGGTACTGTTCCCTTCATCTTAGGGGGTTTTCCACATGCTCAGTGTGCTCACTGTTGTTACTGTTATATATGCAGCACGAGGTGGAAATGGGGGCGTCTACCTACTACGCGCGTGTCGAGCGTCAAGACGGCGAGATGCGCGGCGCGCACACGAACCGGGCGTGGACCGGCAAGCTGATTAGTGACGACTTGGCCGTCATTGTGACGGACTTTGTAGATGAAGACGACGACGAAGCAAGTGACGCGGCAAGAAAAGCAGTGCAGGACGTGCAAGTCGGCAGTGATGGTGTGCCATTGGTGCCGGCCTCGTCAACGTCGGGCCTTCGTATCGACATTTGCTCGGTGCTCACTATTGCGCGAGTGAAGGACCCGGAAACGCAGCAGCCGATCGTGTTGATGCGTCGACTGCGCGTGCATCGCTACAATCTACCGCCCAACTCGCCTGTGATCCACCGGGAGCTCAACAAGCTACTGTCGTATTTTAATGGAGACTTCCACATGGCGATGCTCAGTGACGCGTATATGAACATGAGCAACGACGGGAGTGAGTGCGGTCGATCAGAGTCTGAGAGCAAGACGAGGATCAAAGAGGAAGTCGAAGACACCGAGTCGGACGAAGATCGGATCACGAAAAAGAGGAAAACCAGTTCAATCAAGGAGGGCGTCAGTGCAAGTGACTCGAGCGAGATCTAAGCTCGTCCTTGTTTTATTTTTTTTGTAAGGTCGAATAAATTGCCCGCAGGTAGGCACATACCAAACAATTTACGTAGTGGCAAATAGACAAAATAATTTATCGAGTTTTTTTTTTTTTTTGGTTTTTTTTGTGATAGTAGTGTACACGTATTGCCACAGCTTTTCTTTCTTTCAACAATACCATCTATCTTTTCTACAATCTACAGGGTTTTTTTTAGCACGACGGAAGGGTTCGTGCGGGGCTGCCGTGTTCCAGTTGACGACAGATAACTTCCATGAACAAATCTCCGTTAAACCAGGGCAGTGTGGACCGGATCTCGTCGTGCAGTCTCGGAGAAGAGGGTGGCAGGTTGTAGCGATTGACGCTCAGACGCTGCACTAGCACGTGTTCTTGACCAGTCATTGGATCTCTCTCCGACGTCATCAACAACCTGAAAAACAAAAAATGAAAATTCCGTCAGATCTAAAGATAATCTTCGTGGTAAACTACAACTTCAACAACTCAGCAACGATAGGATACGTACGAGAGACAAGAGTCCAGCCCAACACGTCCATCCGACGTCCGGTCGATGGGGTAGCGAGCGTCCCGGTC